ATTGTATTTTCATATAGTTGGTCACATAGTATTGTATTAGAATATAGTTGGTCATATAGTATTGTATTGTCATATAGTTGGTCACATAGTATTGTATAAGCATATAGTTGGTTATATAGTATTGGATTGTCATATACTTGGTCACATAGTATTGTATTAGCATATAGTTGGTTATATAGTATTGGATTGTCATATAGTTGGTCACATAGTATTGTATTAAAATATAGTTGGTCATATAGTATTGGATTGTCATATAGTTGGTCACATAGTATTGTATTAGCATATAGTTGGTCATATAGTATCGTATTGTCATATCGTTGGTCACATAGAATCGTATTTGCATATAATTGGCCATATAGTATTGTATTGTCATATAGTTGGTAACATAGTATTGTATTAGCATATAGTTGGTTATATAGTATTGGATTGTCATACAGTTGGTCACATAGTATTGTATTTCCATATAGTTAGTCACATAGTATTGTATTAGCATATAGTTGGTCATATAGTATTGTATTGTCATATAGTTAATTATATAGTATTAGATTGTCATATATTTGGTCACATAGTATTGTATTAGCATATAGTTGGTCATATAGTATTGGATTGTCATATAGTTAGTCACATAGTATTGTATTAGCATATAGTTGGTCATAAAGTATTGTATTGTCATATAGTTGGTCACATAGTATTGTATTAGCATATAGTTGGTTATATAGTATTGGATTGTCATATAGTTGGTCATATATTAAAATATAGTTGTCATTATATTGTCATATTTGGTCATTGTATTAGCATATAGTTGGTCATATGGTATTGGATTTCCATATAGTTGGTCACATAGTATTGTATTTGCATATAATTGGTCACATAACATAGTATTGTATTAGCATATAGTTGGTTATATAGTATTGGATTGTATAGTTGGTCATATATTGTATTTCCATATTTTAGTCATATATTGTATTGTCAAATAGTTGGTATAGTATTGTTTAGTATTGTCATCATATATATTGTTTGTCATATATTTGGCCATATAGTATTGTATTGTCATATAGTTTGTCATACAGTATTGCAACTAACGTAAATCGTAGATATTCAAACAGAATTTACAAAGTAATATTATAAACGACTATAATCCATTGAAATGCTTCCAGATTTATCAATAGCCTTCATATTGTAAAGTTCTTAATGAAAGCAAGGAAAATAAAATACTGCCGACAGAGTAATTGTACCGGTTATTCCCAGTATGGAAGTATGAAATACGACCCTGGAAACTGAACTTATTCCTAAGATTCAGGCGGACATTGGCTGATTTGTTATTGATTGTCAAAGAGAAGAAACAGCCAAGTTGGCTTCAAGGCGCTTTCTTCTGCAAAGAAGAAATAACCAACGGAGCGAATATTCTTTTGGTAGGGATGATGTGTTGATAACATTTTCACTTATCTGACTTTGCGCAAGCACGGCTTTTCAATCATTTCTTATCGAATTTTTTGCTTGAATTACGAGCATCTTTGTCAGCCGAGCCAATGCCCTGATATCATCCTCATTTATAATTCAGTCGGATGATATAAACTTGCTAATTTTGGATGTATATATTATTATATGCATACAAACCCGAAGAAGGGAAAATGAATTCAAGTGTTTCCAGACACACACACACACACACACACACACACACACAAAAACACACCCACAACTATGTATGCATGTATTTTGTGTACGTACTATGTAGGTAGGTAGGTATGTATGTATAGGTACGATGAAGTAATGGTTACGTGTCAGATGAAGGAACGGAGATCCGCGTTCGAATTCCTGTCGAGTTCGTTATATTAACTCACGAGCAAATATAGTATCAATTCATCTCTTCTCCTCCAGATGTGGGTAAATGGCAGAGCAGACTAAATCTAAGAAGAAGGACAACTCTGAATTCAAAACTTGACGAGGGCCGTTTGGGGACCTTGTGGTGCGATTTGTACATTTTTTCTGTATTCGTCAATTTCAAAAAGTGCGGTTGATTCTGTACAAGCCATCGCTACTATAAGCAACTGATATGTGGGCGTAGTCTGTTCGGTTGTAATGACTAAGCTGCAGGGCCTCATATGTTGAAAAACGACAAGAGTGCCCCCCTATATGTATACCGGCTGTAACAGGAAAATTGTTCAATTTTTGGTTTAACTTCTGAATCTTTGTATCTTAGAAATGATTAAAGATATCTTTTTTGAATTCTCCGAGATTGTCATAACATTATTGGACTCTGCTTTGAGCAATAAGAATATATAATTACTCTCCAGGCTTAAAAGAAATATCGTGATGATATCAATCATAAACGAAAATGAACATTTTCAACATTAATTAATCATAGCTAAGAAACAGAAGCTCATGAATGTTTGATATATATATATATATATATATATATATATATATATATATATATATATATATATATATATATATATATATATATATATATATATATATATATATATATATATATATATATATACCATTTTCAACGTATTCAGGATGATCTTCTCCCCTCTAATCTTTTAATTTAAAAATAAAAAACAAAAATAATAAAGAACGTTGGATTATTAACCTAAAGTTTCTTCCTATTTTTCTGTATATTTGCACACACAAACACACACACACACACACACACACACACACACACACACACACACACACACACACTCATACGCATATGTATGTATGTATATATATATATATATATATATATATATATATATATATATATATATATATATATATATGAAGAATATACTTAAAAACAAGCAAAAATCCTAATATGTGATTATGCTGTTTTAATGTTTAATGTCATGCGTCGGACGTTTCGGTCTAATAGACCATCTTCAGAACATATTCTTTAAAACATAATTAACATAGGCCATATACAATTCAACATATTTTTAATGTTTTTTTTAAACTTATTCCACATTCTCTTCTTAGTTCTTGAATGAATTTTGAAGATAAAAGCCAGCGTATGAATGTTGGTACCATTGCTGAAAAGTTTTTCTCTGCTATTTAGACAGTCGTATCTGAAACACCTCTCTCACGTACCAAACGTCATATGATCTCTTTAGGTCTAAGTTGAAATTATGATCCCTTTTCAAGATGTGACCCCCTGATCAAGTTTTCCTTTGTCGTAAGAATCACTAGAAAAAAAGATCATTTGTCGTAAGAATCACTGAAAATCCATTTGAGTTATTCAGATAGAAAGAGAATCTCTTTATGTCAGCGCCACAGCCTTCCCAAATGAGCAATTGCGAGAGGAAAAATATCATTCAGGCCTACAGTAATAGTAAAAACATTCATATTCTGGGTTCCTTATTCAAAGTCCATTCAAGAAGCATCAAGACAACGGTGAATAAGTCTAACAAAGTTGAAGAGTAAAAGAGGAAAACTTCAACAGGAGTACACAACAGGAAAAGAGGATAATCATTTGAACTTAGAGGCAAAGAGATCAACTAGAAAATATCCACTTCAATTCATGAGATGTTTTGGCACGTGAGAGAGGAGTTTCTTCGATGACTGCCGCAAAACAGCGAAAAGAAACTTGAAAAGGAAATTTGTGCGGTTGCTTATTACTCCATTACAACTTCTAAGAAACGGTTCGAATTTTGAGATACAATATTTCAAAAATATAGGCCACTTTTCTCACTTATCTCACAGTGTTGCAACAAGAGAGTTTAGAAATTAGGATTAAAGTGTAAAAGGAATACTTGTCAAAACGTGATGATTGACAATTCTTCATATTTCACCCCAGAAAAGCCAGTATGACACAAGGGGTTACCGAGTTTGAAAGAATAGGAAAAAGGGAAATATAAAAGAGGTTGGTGAATATTGTTTTTGCTCAAAGTAGAGTCAAGTAGTCAAAAATCTCGGAGAGTTCCAGTAAAAACGTAATCATTTCTAAGATACAACGTTTCAGAGGTTAATCTAACAATCGAGAATTTTACTGTTACACAATTGGGACAATTTGCTGTTACACCATATATATATATATATATATATATATATATATATATATATATATATATATATATATATATATAAAGATAGAAGAGTAAGATATATAATCCGGTGTTCTTATAGATATTTTTATTTTTGCAAAATAGTGCTCAATGTAAATATACAGAGCGTTAATATCATAAATTAACTGATTTAAAGTATGTCTTTTTCGCTACACACTAATAACTATGTTTCAAAAATGGAAGCTAAAAGCTTCAAATTTAATTGTGTAATTAAATTAAAAACATTAGTTCAATTTCCTCCTCAAGGGAAAATTCGCCTGTGGATGAAATGGAACTAATGTTTTTTAATTTTAAATCAGTTAATTTATAATAATAATAATAATAATAATAATAATAATAATAATATATATATATATATATATATATATATATATATATATATATATATATATATATAAAGGAAAAATCTTAACACACCAAGAAAATACGGTAATAGAACATGATTTATTTCGACCAGTATGTCGAAAGTATATATATATTTCAACTAGTATGTATATATATATATATATATATATATATATATATATATATATATATATATATATATATAAACAACAAGTTCTCTAAATTGCTTAACAGCAAGTTAAGATGTTTTTAATAATTTCTAACAAACAACAGTTCAAAGCATAATCTAACAAATAGACAACTTTGCACTTGATTCAAACTCAAATACAAGGTGACGTATGTATTCATTTTTGAGATACTAGTTTATAATCGTACTAAATGGTCTCCCGATTATTGGAAGACAATCAAACATTTCAAGTCTTAACCATTCTCAAGAGTGAAGATCTAATAGAGCAGTCGTTCAAAAGTCCAGCCATTTGCTACCAATGCAGCTCAACTTGTAGCTGGCCTACGACGTTACCTTAGGCATAAGTAAGAAGACTAATTGAAACTGATGAGTCTTTGTATATTAAAAATGACAGATGAGACCATCATGTGCATATGCTATTGTTGTTTAACGCTGTAACCGAGATTGTTAGTAGAAAATATGGTGGAATTCACCGAATCCTTTTTTCTGCACGCATCTGTTATGTCAGTTAACATGTCAATTATATTGATGCTTCCCAGATGCATCGTATCATTCGAGTCAACAGATTTAGATGGATATATAAACATAGACTGATCATTCTGTTCTATATAAATTTATCTATCTAAGCCTGTTTATTATCTATCTATCTATCTATCTATCTATCTATCTATCTATCTATCTTAGTCTATTATCTATCTATCTATCTATCTATCTATCTATCTATCTATCTATCTATCTATCTATCTATTCAGTTAATATCTATCTATCTATCTATCTCCAGATTCTTCTATCTATCTATCTATCTATCTATCTATCTATCTATCTATCTAATTATGTCAGATTCTTCATTATGAAACATTGTCATTCATTATCTAAATATCCACCTATCTAAGCCTGTTCATTATTTATCTATCTAGTGAGATTATGTGTTGAAAAAATAGCTAGAACCTCTGAAAAAAAAATGGAAGAAAATGATTTTATTTTGATCCTGACATCTAAGTGTTCTTAAACGTTATCCACCATCGATATAGCGATTGATATATATATATATATATATATATATATATATATATATATATATATATATATATATATATATATATATATGCATAATCCGGAGTTCCTTAGTATTTTGTTTTTATTTTAAGAAGACAGTGCTCCATACAGAAGTAGAGATTTATTATAATAATATTTTTGTTTAAAAATACGATTCCTTCGCTACATGTTTCAAAAACGAGAGCCGAAACCATCCAAATAATTATTAAAATTAAGTTGAATTGAGGTGTTTAGTCCAGTTTCATCTTCTCACTGGGTGCCCCATACTTTTCGGCCTTGTGCCACATCTAAACTACGCCTGAAAATCATTATATGTAGATAGGCAGATAAAAGACTGCTACAGATGGATAGATAGCGATAAAAGATTACTAGTGATACATGCATACATACACATGAACAATCTGAGACAGACATATATAGACAGGTATATATTAAGAGGCTAAGCTAGCTAGCTAGATAGATAGATAATGACCACTACAATATTGCATACAAGCAATATTGTGTGCCGTAAATGAAATCAGTCGGTGTGAGTTGCCGCTCTAAATAATATATATAATTGTTAGACATTAACACATTCAGATAGATAGGTAGATAGAAAGATAGATATGGAAAGACTGAAGTATATATTTATACAGTGAAATATATCGATTCATTGATTCACATATATTATGGGTTAGATTGAAAGAGGCGGATAGAAATTGGCTGAATTATCAATTGATACCTTTACTCTTGCTATGTTCAAATAAATATAAGGAGTTACATTTGTAGGCCAGTCTTTCTTACATTCGAATGTGGCCATCTGTTTGCTTCGTTCAACATAGAAATTAGAGATTATCGGAGGCCTGCGAGAAACACACATCTCCGAGTTCAGCGTGTCTCATCCATTCCAACATTGGCAAAATTGATTTAAGCATCTTTTTCACGTTATTAGCCGACATCGAAAACATTGCTTTATCCTCGTAGACATATTATTTATTACATTTCAGGTCTGAGTATTGTTATTGTTGATCACTAAGGTCAAAAAAGTAGATGCGACAATTCCTTTTGAGTGATAGGTATCAATCTTCGATTAGCCTTTGCCTCTGACTTTTTGTCTGATACTATAGGAGCAATATATGATTTATCAGAGAATGTTACAATATACTCGATTTTATGAAAAGAAAATAGAGTATAACATTTCTCTCTCACTCTTTCTCTCTCTCTCTCACACACACACACACACACACATACATATATAAGAATGCGATGGATAAATTCTGGTCTAAATTACGAAAAAATGAAAATTACGCAAACATCTCATTTTAAAAGATATATTAACCAAAATTACACAAAAATATCTTGAGGTACTAAAGAGTAAATTTTTTATTCAATAAAATGGTTATCGGCTTCAACTACAGCCTCCACACTACTTCGAAATCTCCTGCTTCTCTTCTGGACGGTCTCCTTGTTTAAGCAGGTGAATGCTGCCATAATCCTTGCCTTCAGTTCATCTTTGGCGTTACGAGGAGTTTTGTTAGTCTCTCGCATACATAATAATAAAAAGGTTTGAAGTCTGGGGAGTTAGGTGGCCAAAGATGATGTAGTCGCAGAAATTTTTTGACAGACATGACTGGTTTCTCCTGCTTGTGTGGCATGGTGCAGAGTCCTGTTGCCAGATATAGGGTCTTCCAGTAGCCACCCTCTTGACCCAAGACAGCACTAACTCCTCAAGTCAGTTGATGTTGAATCTAGAGCCCTGTGGCAAGATGGATGCTAGCATAAATTTCCTACCACTAGTGCTCATTCCAAACACCAGGATGTTGACTGGACATGTCATCCAACTCTTACCGAATCCTCTGCAATGACCTCAGATTGACACGTAAACATTTTGAAATGTTCATATCGGAGCTTCCGGGATGAATGATAAGCAGTACTGCTTGCTGTTTTCAAATTTCTGGTGGTGGGAATTGCGTCATGGTGATCTTTTTCTTTTTTTACACAGTGCCCTACTTACCTTACTATATTGTGCAGTCCAAAAAGAACAAACAAACCAACAAAAAAAACAAAAAAAAAAAACAAAAAAACAAAGAGGAACAATGCGCATGCGCAAAATCAAAAATATAAAATGACGACAATTTAACCATTGCAACCTGACATAACATGGTGTTTGGAGAAATCACGTCGTTATGCGTCCATCCATCTTCCCACTGGGTCTCAGATCCAACACGAACGCCTACACACACACACACACGGACACACACACACACGTATATATATATATATATACATATATATGTGTGTGTGTGTGTGTGTGTGTGTGAAAGATATATATATATATATATATGTGTGTGTGTGTGTGAAAGAATATTTTTTTTTGTCTGGATACTTTGAACCATTATTTGTAAATTTATACCATTTACATCTTTGGTTTGATGAGACATACTGGTCGAAATAAATCATGATCTATTACCACATTTTCGTGATATGTTAAGCTTTTCCTTGATATATATCATATTGCTTTGTAGTCTATACATTGAGTTCTCTATGGATATATATTTTTATAATTTTATATTATAATGAACGACTTGGATTATCATTTCCACTTACGGATCTGATATTATTATCTCTCTCACTTTCTCTCTTTTCTTTTCTCTCTCTGTATATATATATATATATATATATATATATATATATATATATATATATATATATATAAAACCGAATTTTGTCACATTAAACCTTATTTTAGTGGATATCCATATTTAAGTAGACGTCCTGTTTAGTTATTACATAGTATATTTATTTATTTGCATCTACCGGCATGCATATTCGTCACATCTTATAAACAAAAGCAATAGGATGCGAATATATACATGCATCATTTAAATTTAGATACGTATCCTATTCACTGTAATTCATACAATTTCCATTAAGGGCGACTGACAAGGTACTGCTATTAAGCTTTTTCATTCAAGTTTTTCTTGTATTCTTAAATGTGTTTCCTTTTCTGGATAGAAGGTATATAAAAACTGAGAATATGTTTTATATATCCAAGCTCTTTCGGTTATTTTAGTAGCCGTTATCTAGCATAATTATTTTTATTACTCTATATGTAGATTTTATAAATATGTATCTATAATGATGAAAGTGTTCTTTTTTCAAACACAGTCAGCATATTCTGTCCATCTTCTTTGTAGATTTTAGTCGACTTTTTTCATTTTATTATTACAGCCTATATCTATCTATCTACTATATATATATACACACACACACGCACAATCAGACATATACACATATATATATATATATATATATATACTCTTTCTCTCTCTCTGCGCACACACAAACATTCAAACATTACACATTATATATATATATATATATATATATATATATATATATATTTATATATATATATATATATATATATATATATAGTGTATCAACAATACATTTACAAACATTTTTTTCCACACACCAAGACAAGAACAAAAGTCTATGTAAACATTTGACCGCAAATCCTTCGTTTTTGAATCATTAATTTTTTAAAAAAAGGTTAAACGTGGATTACTTTGTGTTGTAATGTAGACTAGCTTACATTTGTCATTCGTGTACACTTATGGATAGTCTGTCTTCAACATTTAACGTATGTAATAGTGAGTTAACTGAGAAGTACTCTGTTTAACAATGGCAACATATTCATATAGTGAGCTGATATGTATGATATTGACATTTTCGCGAATGGTAATGGGTGATATATATGCATCAGTTTGCGTTTTCAGTCGAGTCATCCAAACTATTTATCGTCGCGTTGGTGAGACAGAATCTGTGGCATCACAAATTATGGATCGATGTTTTTTGCGCATAATTTTCCTTGTTTTAATGAACGACTTGCCAAAGTCTATCAAACTATATTCGACTCACTTGTATAAACATGGAACTGATAGGATGTTCTAATTTTAAGGAAATTTAAACTTATATTCGGCACTTTAATGTATACGATAAACACTCGAAGACAAAGGGCGAGCATAATAGCTGAAGCGCTCTGATTAAAAAAAATGAATTTTAATATATTTTGCATTATTTTTGATTTAATTGATTTCAGTTTTGATTTACAGTCTGATTTTGACATGTATATAGCTAAACTTAATGAAGTGACAACGCTTTTCCATGACATTTCTGAAATCATCTCAATTTTGTATCAACTCAAATACGTTACAGCCATCTTTTTTAAGTGTTTCACTCCAAGCAAGCCGGGAAGCCAGTAGCACGCATGGGATTATAGAGAGTTGGAGCGAGAGCAAATAGAAGTGATAGAAGAAAGGATGAAGAGAGGGTTAGGGGATAGATCTGGGTATCTGGAGACGTCGATTGACATTATATTTGAATATCCAGATTATAGCTATCAGGGAAACAGGACGGGAGGGAGTCCTGTTTGAAGCTATTGGAATAGAAGAGACAGCTACATTTAAAGTTTTTGACAGTGAAAGGGTGAGCGAGATGCCAGCCTAGTAGAACGCTTAAATTCATGAAGTCTAACCAGCGAAAGCAGCACATCGGAGCAGTTACCGTGAAATTATTTGTGAAAAAAAGAGGGAGGCGAAACGTCTGTGAGGAAGGCGACTGCAGACGATATGCCAGATCAGGGCCAATTACATTGCATATCCGTCTCTGGTTTTTAACAAGAACCTTGAGATAAACAGAAGGGGCTCTTGACCATATATGGCAACGATATTCCATTAAGGGCGAATCATGACAACAAATAAAATCAAGAAATTTCTAGAATTAGTTAACTGCCATCTATTGTCAAAAATATGGTTAATTTATTGCCAACTTTTCTTCTTCTTCTTCTTCTTCTTCTTCTTCTTTTTGTGCCGTGTCCGTTCAGGACGTTGGCGATCATGGCTTTCCACGATTTTCTGTCTTTCGTAGTTCATAATAAATATTGTCTTTTTATTATTTATCCTAAACTCACTAAGTTATGTGTTGGTTCCCGCTTTCCCTATTGCCGTCAAGCTGTCCTGCGAGTGTCTGATTTTCCAAGCCCTATTTCCTCATTATGTACCCTAGAAATGTTAAATGTCATTTTCCTTTCTGCTTGAATTTTTCCAAAAACTTTGTCGTTGCTCACATGCTCGTTCCATGTTATCCTCAGTATCCTTCTATAGAAATACAATCATTTAAACAAAAAATCTTAAACTTTGTGTTCTTCTTTTCCGTCTGATTCACCAGTTAACTAAAAGATTAACGCTCAAACAAAATATTGCCGGTAGATTATAATAGAAATTAAAAAATAAGTAAGCCTCCAAAGTGGCAATTTTTTTTTCAGTTTCATCAGTGACGACTCTAATAGGAAAGAACCACCTCCTTTTGTAATTCAGACGAGAAGAGATTTTCAGTTAAAAGATGAAAAAAATTCCAAATAGAGAAATTGAGATGCGTGTCTTTTTTCTTTGAATGCTGTCGTCAGAGGAGAGAATGTGATAATTGGAGGCTTTAAAAATGTTATCAGCAGGTAATTCTAATGAATGAAAGCAGAGATTTTGTCTGAAAAATCAAAGGTAGCCATATTGCTTCATTGTATTTCCTTGGAAAAGAAAAGGAAAATAAATATTTTTTCTGTGATAAAGGGAAGATATTGTTTTATCTGTTTGATAAACCAGCGGATGGTTATTTTTTAGGTTCGCTCTTCTAAGCCGTACCGACTTTAAGCAAAGTGGAATGAGAAGTAAAGAGGTGAGTGAAGGATTTTTGGAGATAAAGTGGCAACAAAAACGGATATAAGGTATATCCGTTTTCTGGTCTAATTTAACAGGCATGATTTGGATCGGGATGTCAAGTCCGTTTCGCGGTTCCGATGACTTCATTTCATATTTGCCTGATGAATCAACACCATCACTTGGTAAGACACCAGAAGTGTTGAAATAAAATGGGTATTTTTTCGGATAAATAATTATATTTGCTCTACTCTGTATTGACCACGCTTTTAAGAATAATATTTGTTGGTTATTGGGATTATATTCCGTATACACCAATTATATACAAGCATCTGAGTTTTTTCATAAAATAAACAAAGATGAGGATTGTATTAAAGCTCACACACAAACACGCATACACACACATGCGCGCACACCACACACACACACACACATATATATATATATAAACACATTTGTAGTTAGAAATGAATTTATTACATTTTCAGTAAAAGTGTTCAATTCTATGTCAGTCAGTTATGTGCTATGCGTAATACACGCTTAGACGATCATGTATCTTTCGATACATGGCTGATGGAGTAGGATGCTATTTCTTTCTGCGGTAGAACCCGGTCTGTCCTGCTATTTATCCATAGCTGAGGGGAGAAGAGTATGTATACCTTTCACAATGGTATTAGCACGCAAGTGAATGGTATGGATTTGACTGGAATTCGATCTTGGCTCTCCGATACCTCCATCCAAGACGCTATCCATTACTCCACAATGTCAATACTATGCAGCGCTTAAATAAAACGTAAAATTATAAAATATCTTAGCTAACTTCACAAGGTTTTCTTCCTTGATTAAGGTTCATCAGGCCAGTTGCACGTCTTAAACGATTATCAGTCCATTATAAGGTTTATATAATAAACTGGCTTCTTTCTTTCTTTTTTTTCTGTCTGTCTGTCTGTCTATCTATCTGTCTGTCTGTCTGTCTGTCTATCTATAAGTCTGTCTGTCTGTCGACCTGTCTCATTCTGTACATATCTATCTGTGACGGTTAACATCTATATCTTTTAGACATCTTTCTTTCTCTTTATTTGTAACCCCATCTCTAACTTTCTTCGCCATCTATCTATCTATCTATCTATCTATCTATCTATCTATCTATCTATCTATCTGTGGCAGTTCATCTCTATCTCTTTTAGCCACCTTTCTATCTCTCTATTTGAATGTCCATCTCTATCTCTCTTTTCCCCATCTATCTATCTATCTATCTATCTATCTATCTATCTACCAGGAATGTTGAAAGAGAAATCACTGCTGCATGTTGAATGTTGGTTTCCCGCCCTAAGCGAGCATCAAACCACTTTCTGAACAGCAGATAAAAAAAATGAATTCTTTTATTTACATAGGCTGACGTTTAAGGATATTGTCTTTGATTTCAAATTTAATATAAATCAAAGACTAAGATTCTTCGCACCTTTTTGCATCGAAATTCGTCAAACGAAAAATACCGACCGGCACAGTTCAGCGGATTCCGTTCAATGTTACGAACGCCAAGTCGAAGGTGAAGGAATTAACCGATTCGTTCAAAAAAACGACGTGATTCCCGTTAAGGAAATCAAGTTTTTTTTTTTTTTTTGGAAAACTGAAATCATCCAAATGCAAGAAATTGAAAGAAAAATCTCAACAAAATAAAGACTATTTTGTACGTTTGATTTGTCAAAGACGAAACAAAGAATCGATTTAGGAAAAGATATTTGTAGAAATACATGAATAGAAAATAAAAATGAATCAGTCTTAAAAAAAAGAAAAAGAAAAAAGAAACAAAACATGAAATAGTTTTTTGAAATCAAAAACGAACATTTTTAAGGCATCATTTCATGGATTTTGAATGATTGTTTTTAATTTAAATTTAGATTTAAGTGAGGTTCAACATTACTGATTTTTCCCTACGGTTTCTGTGGGTTTCTTCATCACTCCACTCAAATATTCCACTTAATGATTAATGATTTGAAATGTTCAAGTTGATAGAAAAGGTTTATCATTACAATAAAGACGCTGAAAATTACATTAAAAAATATGTAAAAATAGTTGAAAACAGATGAGTATGGTATTAGTTTTATTAGCTGTTTCCGCATAAGGAAACATTCGAAATTTATTGACAGAGAAGCCATTATTTCTTTAGACCGAAATTTACAAAATCTCTTATTTAAAACAATTTTTCAGGGAAACAGATTCTTGAAGCCCAGTACTTGCGATCGCCTTTTTCTGTATTTATGGCGGTTAACTTCTCTTCCAGTTACATGTGCTATCCATTTTCGTTGTTGCCGCTGTTGAAAGTTTTCAACTGATATGATTTCTGTTATCTGCCACAGTTCTTTGTGATTCTGTAGCGCCAGTCCACGAGGTCCCAAGAAGTGTGGCTGCCACCAAATCTACATAGGCTTTCAAAGCTATTTTTGACCGTTTATCATAGAAATGGTTGTGTATGTTGAAGCTTGGATAAGCATGGAATAATAATAATACAACACAAAATGTACGTAAACAAAATGTATTGAAACAAGGAAAAGGTAGACAATATTTACAGTTAGTTTTGGTATATTCTTGGGAAGACTGTTCCTGTAGAATGGGTTGACTTAATCGCAGTTGGGCAGAGTATCTGGATTGGATCTCTTCTTACTTCCTCCATCGTCTTCCCGGTACCAACCCATATTTATATGGTCGGTACTCCACTATGTAAATTAGGTGGATCGTACCACAACAGTGTACATCAGATAGTTCAGATTTTTCTGAGCGGGTTTGAAGCGATTTGTTTCTGATTATGTAGCGCCAGATCACTAGATTCGAGGAAGAATAGTCCACTCTACAGTCTTCATTCACTCGAAGTTATTTGATCTAAAATGCTGTTGTATACAGTTGGCAATTTCGACATTTCTGAACGCGCTTAGCGCTATGCTTATCATACATGTGAAAGTCTAGATATGTCGTGGTTATTTAAGCATATGATTTGAGTTCTTAGTTGAATTTTATGGTTTTGAAGCATTTTTGCGGTGTCAGTTAAAACTTCAATTAGCACGGTTTATTATAAATTCAATTTCCTTATCTCTTATACTGAATTTATTATAATATTTGTTTATAGCTACCTCCACAGAAACACGATACATAAGGTCTAAAATGTCTTTTAGAAAAATGGTCTGAAACAAATGTTACTTACTTTAATCTTAAAATATCGTAGAAATGCATTTTGTCAACACAGCAGTAGGTGTTTATTTCAGGTGTTGACAGCTTATCTGTTTTTTTTTTCTACGGTTGACATATCTTTAAATGTTACTTGAAGAATATCAAGTCAACGCTTTTTTTAATATAATTTTTGTATAGGCATCACTCTTTCAAAGCTATTTTTAACTGATTTGTTCCTGATGTGTTAAACTTTCCCTTGGTTTCGTTTGATTTATTTTATTATACGGCATATCAACCTCAATGGGTTATTTAATGTCGACAACATTTTTAGGATAGATTCGTATGAATAGAATAGGTATTCTTTGGTTTAGATTGGTTTGGTTATTTGTTTTACGGCATATCAGCCCCAATGGGTTATTTAATGTCGACCACATTTTTAGGATAGATTCATATGAATAGAATATGTATTCTTTGGTTTAGATTGGTTTGGTTTAGATTGGTTTGGTTTATTTTGTTTTACGGCATATCAACCTCAATGGGTTATTTAATGCCTACATTTTTAGGATAGATTCATATGAATAGAATATGTATTCTTTGGTTTAGATTGGTTTGGTTTATTTTGTTTTACGGCATATCAACCTCAATGTGTTATTTAATGTCGACAATATTTTTAGGATAGATTCGTATGAATAGAATATGTCTTCGTAGGTGTAGATTGGTTTAGCTAGTCTCCATTTGTCTTTCCCTCGCTTCCATCTTCCAATTCAAGCGATACAACAAATTGAGTTTAGGTCAAGCTGTCTCCTACTTTAGCAAATAATTGTGTTCGCATGAGGGTCTTCAAAAGAAGGTCATTTCGAATAGCATGGAGTTCGTGGTTTAAGTTTCATGATGTGCATCACAGAAATTTTCTTCCTTTCTCATGCTGACATTTAAGAGATGTCAAGTGTATTTGGTCCAGATAGAAAAGCTGGTTTACAGACTTTGTCGTATCAGAGCTCTGGTGACTAAACTAGATTATCACGCATGCGCTCTTTACGCAGTTATTAAGATAGCTTTATGATAAAAAAATGTTTACTTTGCACGTATGCTTATCCTATCTTTTTTCTTTTATCTCTGTTTTGAATCAATAAAAATAATTCTGAACAAACACGTGTATTTTCGAGAGTGGGCTGCTTTGGTTTGTGAGTGTCAAATTTGCCAAGCCTTATTTCCTCATTATGTCTTACAAAAACTCCATCTGCCTCTTTTTTTTTTAATTCTAAATATAATTATGTTTTGTTTCCATATTCCTTAAAACTTTCGGATGTTGAACTATCACCGATTACGATGAATGGAAGTCCCTAAGGGAGACCCCATGTCTTGGGCGTCTATTAGGGCTTAAACTCGACCCAGACCTCAATATGCTGCTCAGTTTCCTCTACCTCTCCAGTAAATGTCTTACTCTTTGCGCAATTTTCACAAATCAGGTCTAAAATGGCGTACTGTTGCCATATATGGAGAAAATATTCACTTTCCAGTCGTAGAGTTATAAAGCGTCTCCGCGTCTTTGTGGCTGATGAATTATTTTCCGCTCGTTTTCTAGCATACAAAATGGCGCAGGCCTCTCGCTGCTCGATCGATATTTCCATGAAAAGTGCTCAGACGAACTACATTCCTTAGTACCACGTCTAAGAACCGCTATGCTACGCCAACCAGTCTCATACACTTCGTGTTCCATTGGTGAAATGTAAGTTACAATGGAGCAGCTTCTTCCCGCGAAACACTGCCCTGTGTAACCGACTCCCAAGATGGTGCTTTCCCTATCGCTACACTCAAAAGACGTCGCTGTTTGTCACAGATAACGTTCCTGGTATTCTCAGTGTATTTCTGTGAAAGCACATACCTCTGTTGCCTCAAATTTCCTCCTCTTATATGTGAGGAAATTGTCCAGTATACACTGGCATATAGGAAGATTGATATTATATTGCAGTTCAGTCTCCTCTTCTTATGTTTTAACAATATCTTTCTGTTTCTTAATACTTTGCTTAGTTTTTAGAAGCATGTATTCCTTAGGCACCTTTCATACAAATAACATTCTTTATTTTCCTGGGTATGACGATAAACTACATCCGACAGCAATGCCTCTGACTGGGAGGCTTTTTGGAGCGTGGAACCACCTTTTAATTGCTGTTGATCCCAGTACTACCCAGAACATGGAGCCGCGGTGGTAGTACCAGTTAGGGCCCCAGCTCTGGGCAAATATCGAACTCCAAAACTGGTGTCATTATTACCAGCAATACATCTTCATAGTAAAAAAATAAATAAAAAAATTAACAACAATAAATTTTTTGAAAACTGATCAAGTGATTTGTTTGCTTAAGACATATTAACTCCTTAAGACGAAATTTAATTTTCTTGGGAGCTTTGAATTAATAAAAATAGAATACATATTATTCTGCTTTCACAAATGAATACATGGTAAATAATACTCAGATTTCCAACATATATATATATATATATATATATATATATATATATATATATATATATATATATATATATATTGGACATAAATATTAGAAGCGGTGATATGTTTTTATTTTTATGTAGTAGTTTTCTTGAAGTTACATTCTGGAATTGAGTTGCATTTAAAAAATTGTCGGATATTATATGTACTAATGTCATAAAAGTTCTTTCATGTTGGTTGTTTGACTGATTTTGTTTAGCGGCATATCGACACCTCTATGGGTTATTTAATGCCGAAATCTAAATCTGAACACAATTTTATGGCTTCAACTAAATATATTTTGAATGCAATTGCATGCTTTCATCTACAGATAAAATCTGTTGTCAGTTATTTTACATTAAAATGTATTGTTGATCATTTTACTACAAATACGTATTGTTCATTCCTATAAAAAATATATATATTGCTAGTATTTTTACTATAAATATGTGTTTATATACTTTCATAGTGTTTATTTCTGTTTGGGAGTTCAGTATTTTCTCATAGGGAGAACCCCGGAATGTGACACCACCCCAGGTCAAGGTGAACATGATAATAACAGCAATTAAGGGGTGGATTTATGCTCCTCAAATTTTCCAGATCAGATGCCTTGCTGCCGGATGTCATACCCAGGAGTCACATTTTTTGGGGAAGAATTTCTAAAGCTTACAAGAAAATAAAATTTTGGCAATAAATGACCCATGAGGATTTGATATGCCGTTAAACAAATACACCAAACCAAGATTCTTTCATTTTCATTTTGGTTACCATGAAAGGCAAAAATTACTTTTCATTTCTCCACGAAAATTCCTTAAAACGTGAAATATTTCTCAAATACGTACACCCTTGTGCAAATTAATTGAAACAACCGCATTGGCTTTCTTCCTTTCACCATA